TGGAGCCTTGTCATTAAGGGCTTTGTATGTTAGGAGAAGGATTTTAAATTCTATTCTGAATTTAAAATCCTAAAATATGTGATGTACACAATAATTAGAATCAAATAATATGATGTACATCAATATAAACTGTGCCATTTTGCATAATGGTACTTAAAGTAGACTGTATTTTCTGCTAATACTTTTACTTAAGTAAACAATCTGAGTACTTCTTCCACCACTGTTGTCTTCTGTGCATGGACACTCAGCACTGAACAGCTACAGTATGCTGTCCACACACAACATGTTGCATAACACAGTGTGATAGCGCTGGTGGCAGTTGTCTGCTGGCTGGTGCACAGACACGCCACCGTGTGCTGAGCTCTGGCTTTGATCTGTCAGATAAATACAAGGCTCACGTGTACAGCGAGGAGGGAGCTTATGCAGTTGGAAGGAGACGTGCTGGTTTTAGTCTACATTTCAGCCAGCAGCAGACACTTGTGCCTGATCAGGTCTGGTCACTCTTGTCCTCCTAACTGTGGTGCTTCTCCCACCACGGTCTAATACCAGTGGTTAGAATCGGGGTGGGAATACTGGGTCTCAGCTTGTTCTAGCAAGAAACAGGTGTTTTATGTCAGTACCTGACAGCTGCAGCCTAAAGTGGTGCATGAGCACAGAAACATTAGCCAGCAGCTGGTGTAGTCCCAGAGCTCGGTGCCTCTAAACCATAGGATTCTTGTGCATGTGTGAATAAAAAAAACTGGGAACAGTGAACAGATGTTCATCATTAGCAGACGAAATGCATGGAACCCCCTTTCCTACCTTGGTGACCAGATAGCACCCAATTCAAACATCTGTTTCAATTAACACCTGACAGGAAAATGTAGGAAGCTGTGACTGCATTGTTAGGTAACAGAGTACAGTACAAAAACAAATTTTATAAAATATCACTGCTCTTTCTTCACAACATGCCAGTAAGTGGAACTGGAGTGAGACAATAATGTTTGTTGTAATGGTAATAAAAGTAACTCGGCTCATGATGTTTTGAGTTTTTTTCCGCACTGAGAAAGTTTAACACTTACTGTTCATTCAGAGGTACATACAAATTTTATGTACTAATAAAAATGTGTGATATGCCCATAAGGTACAGAAAAACAAACGAAGGAACCTTCAGTGAAGTTGCTCATGAAGTTAAGAAATTTTATAGAGGAAAAATGTCAGATTAATGTAAAGTTTGAACTTTTACAGTTTAACGACAACTGAGATATGTTCAGATGTCCCAGAGTAAATGAGTAAGTAATCTTTAAATAGAGGTTTTTATGTCAATCTGCTGTTTTTAAGGTCAGGAACTGTGGAGGTCAAATTCAGAACTATTTAACCATACAGCAGCACTGCACACTGATCAGCCACAACATTAAAACCACCTGCCTCTAATATTGTGTAATTACCAAAACAGCTCTGACCTGTGAAGGTGTCCTCTGGTATCTGGCACCAGGACATCAGCGGCAGATCATTTAAGTCCTGGAAACTGCGAGGTGGAGCCTCCATGGATCAGACTTGATTTTCCCAGCACATCCCACAGATGCTCGACTGGATTGAGATCTAGAGGCCAACCTTGAACTGTTTGTCATG